TATCAAATTAGAATAACTACAGTTTGTTTATTGTGATATTACTTAATTTAATCAATATAAGTCTGTCCTTAAATTATTATTATTATTGTTATTATTTTATAGCAATATGTTTATAATAATCCATCAAGTCATAGATCATTATTGTTATGATTATTTGTTGTTGTTGTTGTTGTTATTTGTCAACCTATTTTAGGGTCAAAAAAAGAAAAACATTTTTTTGTTTTATAGGTCTAAACAAGTAAATAAACATGAAAATAAGAGAAATATTTTGTTATAACAAGGAAAAGTAGAAATAATTGGTGAATGGTTGATAGATATGTAGATAAGCAGATGGATAAATGGAAAGAACCGTAGGCTAATTAGCTATTTTCTTGTTTTGTTTTTTGCACTTCTACTATAGTCCTTTTTTGTATTCTTTGTTTCATCTTTATTATCCAAGATAATTTGTGAGCAAAAAGACTGTTGATTAAGTATGTTTTTTTAGGTTTTGCAAATATTGGAGGCCAAGTTTTAGGATGTTTCTTATTAGTATTAGTTTGGAGTAGAAATATCACGTAGTTACAATAAATAGTTTATGAAACAGGAAGTATTTTAGGCGTTATTAAACTGTTTACAAACTAATGACTCACCAGGTCAAACCTTTTGGTCCCATACTTTATGAATTTGTCAGTATTGAAGCCGATATTCTCATTTTGACTTTAATTATATACACTAACTATATGATAAAGTTGTGATTATTTTGTCAAGACCTTTCAACCTATTATATGCTGAAATATTGGAAAATTAGAGTAGTGCCGCTATAGTAGATTTGTCTTGTTTATTCAGAAAATGAAGCATTGATTATATTGATACTTATGCATCAGAACATATATCCATTAAACACTTGGAGAGGAATTGCTTTTAATATTTCACATTTCTGACTACAAATCTTTTACTATTTGTAAAAACGTTTATTTCTAATTATATAAATATATATACATATATCAGATGAACTTAAAGAATAAGAAGCATGAAATGATATTGACACTTAAAATCTAGCAGAATGTAAGTCAAGAACATGCTTGCATCCATACAACTATTTTTAAGCAACATCCGAAATCTCTAATCACTGATTACAATTACGATACGGGTGTTATGTACATACAATTCATATTGAGACGTGACTCATACAAATAGTTAATAAGATAAATAAATGTCTTATTTCGGATGATGATACAGGTTAGTTGGTCAACTAGTAATAAATTACCATTTTAAACAATTGAATGACCCGAAAAAAAACGTATTGAATCTAATTACACTACATGGTAAGAGGTGAACACTTGTATAACATTTATAGTAAGTAAAGACAAATAATAATATCCAGTTTAGTACTCCGAGTTTACCTCAAGTTGTATCATAGATCTCTTTGTCATAGATTTACTTTTATTAATGACTGTATTATGGGTGAAGTTCTGTAGAATTTATTGCAACAAATATCTTTTATTAATAGAATGAGGGTTCGTAAAGATTGTAGTAATTTAATAGTTGGATTCATGAGTCGATCTAGATCACCATGGAAAACGTGGGAGCACTAAACGACTGTTTCATTCTAATATGGGATTACTCAGCAGTGCGCATCCACGATCCCCCATTCCGATAATCATCATGTGCTCACTATATCCTTACACACAATATTTCTTTTATGTATTACTACTACTATGAATTTGGTGTTCATGGTGTTATGCCAATGAGGTGTGGAAACTTGGACCGATACATATATATGCTTAGTTCTACATTGTAGCTGACTGCTCACCAGTGACTGGCTCTAAAATGTATTTCCTGAAGTCCTAGTGAGAAGCCGTAACCAGTGGAGTTCAACCGTGTCTGTTGTGAGGCAGTCACTTACTGAAGACAGTGGAAGATGGCCGTGCAATATCCTGTATTGGTTCAAGTTAGACATTAACACCGTTGGATGCCGGCCAGCTCAGTGGTCTAGAGGTTGTGTTCGCACGCGAGACCGAAGGTCCTGAGTTCGAGTCGTGCTTGCAGAATCATGGGTGCGCACCGCTGAGGAGTCCTATCCTAGGGCGAAACGTCAGTCCAGTGCTTCCAGGTTTTCCATGATGCTCTAGCTTAGATCGATTCATGAATTCAACTACTAAATATATTTTACCTATTGTCAGAGATCCTAATAGAATGATTAATAATTTATGGGATATTATTATAAAAAATCACCACCTTGTTGTAATTGGGGTTATCGAATCAGTAGACAAATACACAGACGAAAAACGTAATATAATCTTATGTAATCATCACTCAGTTATGTTGAATAAACTTAGAAGACATGTTTTGGTTCTTATGCGAAGATTTCTCATTAATCAACTGTTTATTAAATTGTATGTTTAGTTGTCTTTAAAATCTGAAAAATATCTGTTTTATATGCTATTACAATAGGTCTATTCAGAGCATTTGATCAACTGTTCAACTGACAGACTGTTGCGTAAATATTTATATAAACTATACATCTTTATATGGATGATGGTTCCTGATAATTTACTTAAATATTTAATAGTATTAGAAATAAATGTACATATTTACTGTAGTCCATATTTATAATGGAGAAGCACTAGATATGATTCTAGCGGTACTGTTATATCCATAGTACTATTGCATATACTTGAAAACAGGAAATATAACAATTCCCACAACGTGAAGTAAAAGTATAAAGATTCGTGCAAATGAACATTTATTGACTATCGAAAAACACAACATTAAACCAAATGCACTCATTTATATATTGATTTTATACAAAACTGATCATTAATTGATAAACATCATATAAATGGGGAAATAAGTTTATTATAAAACAAGCACAAAGTTTACACGGAATAATATCAAGAACATGATGATTACATTAGAAGGAAGTTCGCACTGAACATAATATACACTTAATTAGTGCGAAACATATTGACTTGAAATAATGTTACACTGGGAAATATAAACTTAATACGGTAATGAATAAAATGTTACACAGAGGATGAAACTAATGTCACACTAATGATAAAATAGTTTTATACTAATTAAAGTGCTACGTTGAGAATAAAGCAATATCAAAATGTCACACAGAATAAAAATTACTTTCACGAAATGATATATTGGGTTAGAGAAAAATGCTAACTATGTTGATCAATATCCATGGATATTAATTGAAACCCATTTTCGGCTATTATCAAAAATTAGTATCCAGCTCTAGAAATGAAGAGCCATCCGGAGAGGGAACTGGGCACTAAAACATCTCATTTTCGGATGTAGATATGTACGAAATACTCAATACGAAACTACGCATAATAAGAAGCAATAGAAAACACTAATACAACTATCTTTTTAAGTCATTCATCAATTAAGGTATTAAGATCTACCAAGCTTTAATCTTATTCGTGGTATCACCGATCCTATAAAAAGATTTCATGTGAATAGAATATTTAAAAAAGTCTAGACTCTTTCTATTTCTATATTTTTCATATTCATATTGATTAATTGAGTCATACTCACAGGAGAAAACAGTCAGTAGAACTCATAAGTTTCTATACTGGCCAGACCAGAATACTCAAATTTAAATTAGAACTAGCGAGTTAGTAACGTAAAACCACCAGTCGCGTTAATTTTCTGTTTGAACCCTTTATAATATATTACCTTTATCAGCGCTTTCTGTCTTTTTCAGTAAATACCTGATCCCAATTTTTTCTCATATTACTCTACATCATAATGAAAGGAATTCTCATATTTATATGCAACCAATAGCCTGAAGTGTTCTGTATCGTGTGGCCGAGTGAGGTTTACAAGAACCAAAGTACCACCGCAAAGCTTTGCGAACTAATATCGAGACAGAAAAACTGGTCGGTTAGCGAACTGATATACTACCCATTTCTATAGTAGCTGACCACCTTTCACCGCAGTTGAAACCATCAACAGCAGGTGCATGTCAATAGGGATATTTAGAGAAATAGTGACAAGTAAAGACAGTTCTGAAAATGTCATGAGTCATTTATAAGTATCCCTCCAAGGCATTTGGTGGTTTAATCGCTGAACGATATTCAACACCTGTCAAGGGATTCTGATGAAAGCTCGCTAGCAACTTTAACTCGATCAGTAGTGTTCGAGTAGAGTGTATTTACTATGTTTTGTAATTTGTTTTTCAGTGACACAGTTATAAGACACTTGACCAACGGAGTTCAGTCTGCCTTCAAGTCAAGAAATACTACTACTGTAGTGTGTCAGCAGCTATGTTTAAGTTCAAGAACCTGATAATAGAGGTGTTACAGGAGTAATTATGACAAGAGATTCATGAGAATTAATTGTAAATTAATAATGCGGTGAAATAGACAAGTAACGAAAGGAACTGAAGGACACAATCTATTAGTAGAGCCAACCTTCCCTACTTAGCAGATAGCGAACAATATATTATAAAGCTCCCGCGGTTATATATCAAGTCCCAATCAATCTACCGCTATCATCATACATCGTATTGTTATCATCATTATGATCTCAATTACCTAAACGAAATTTCTACCATACATTTAATTCAAATGAGTTGTTTTGTTACATTGATTGCAACTCGACATCTGACAACAAATTTTTCTACCGTTTTTAAGCGATCCTACCAATCTAAAGTTGATGCATTTTCAAATGCTTAGGCCGTAACAGATGCGGAACTACACCACATTTTTAAACAAAACGTTGTCTAGTTTACTAGCACAATTAATCTTGGTCACTTTAATAAAATAAATATAGACCTATAATAATTTTTTGTTCCAATTTTCATTCTTTGAATATTCTATGCGAATTTTAAGGTTCCAATCGGAAATAATTGACGCATTATAAATGACCTTTTTAGAAGGGCAAAATAAACTAAGATTCAATTAAACTCATTCTTAAAATACAGAATCCCCAGGAGTTAGCTTAGGAAGAGATGAGACTAACAAATAATGCGCGACTAATTAATGAGAATAACGCAACTGGATTTACATGATTTATAAATCAACTTTGTATTATATCTCATATTGATAATCAGTTGTTCGGAAAAAATGACATCTCGTAAAAGTATGTTAGAAAAGAAAAGCACAAATCAAAGGAAAAGTGAACTTGTTTTAGGATGGCAAGGATAGTAGTAAAATCACTGTTGGTTTTTTTTCATTTCAGTCTTTATTACCAGTACAATAGTTTGATAAATCATCAATAGTAGGTGGTAATCATGAATCTTAGTAAACATGAGAGCAAAACTGACAAGAGAATAAGCCTCAATATGTGGATAGATAACAACTCTTTAATTGGACTTTAAAGAGTGGATAGTGAGATGTGTAGTTTTGAACATGAAATCGATGTATTGAGTGTCAACTTTGAGAGGAACCAAAATAAAATGAGGAAAACAATAGCGAATAATAACTTTGACAAGGATAACTCAGAATAAAGCTGTTCACCAAAAAAGAGGAAACTAATGACTTTACAGAACGAAATAAATCGAAAACATAAACAAGTATATGAGAATGACAGAAATTTAATGTCCATAAGAGCCAACAGCAATAACAAAAAATTTCAGCTCCACACTTCACAAACTTCCCTTGAATTGATTTGTGATAAATATATAAACAAAATAGATGAATATAAAGGACTTGGTGAAGCACTATCACAAAAAGCTTCACGTATGCACACGGAAGTGGCTGTGAAAAGTCTGTGTTCGAAGTAATTTACCAAGAATTGAAGGATTTCTCCAGCAGTCAATATTCTGATGAAAACTCAACGAATCCATGTAACTTATTTTAACAATTTACTGGCTTGTTCATTAGCCTTTTTAATTCGTTCAGCATTTGACTTAGCCTAAAATAAAACGCATCACAGTAAATTTTAGACAAATAAAAAACAAACTTAATATCAGTGGACAAAATGAGTGGACCAAGTATCCGGTCCTGAGATTACTCGAAAAAAGTATGAAACTAGCAGTTGTGGTTAGGGAATAATGCACGCCATGTTGTAACGACAGATGGACAGTCACATAAACCCTTTATTTAAAAAATGGAAATGACGTTTTTATGGGTAGCAATAATTTATTTGACAAATTTGCAGAAAGTGAGACAAGATTTCGGAATGTATCAATTTTATGGGACATGACAAAAATAAGAGTAAACTAATGGAAATAAATTATTCACCTTTAAAGGTTAGTTGTGAATACTACATTTATTAACACAAAGATTAGAAAACACTTTACAGTTTAGTGAGTGAAAAGTTCATATGCTTTTAGAATGCAGATAAGTCCAGATGGTGTGCAATGATAGTCACTGATTCGATAAAGCACTTAGCTTTGAAATACTGTCTTTAATTACATTTAGCATAAACTAATAGTAGAGGGAAGATCAACCACGTGAAAAATCGTATTCGATAAACACGACGCAACTTACGCACTATCCCAAAGTGGGTGACACTGTCTAGCTCCACAAACCTTTACAGCTGCAATTTTCCACGCTTACAACTGCTGGTATTTTGGAAACAGCTGAAAAAAGTGTGCCAACTGAGGTTGGCTGCTGAAGAAAAGGTATTTTTACAACCACAAACATTCTATCCGAATCACACTATTAGAACTACTTTTACAAGTAGGTTTCAACCTTTTGTGATAGACTGCTGGTGATAGTCAAGATGGATGTTCGTCTAAATAGTTATGACCCGATAGTCAAGTGGCAAAAAATATCGATCTAGACACTGATACCGAAAGTGATTTATGCCCCACTACCATCCTTGGTCCCATTGCAAAGTTAATCTTGTAAGAATCTACTACGTGTATAACGTGTCAGGTCGAAGTTTTCGTATGACTGCAAAACCTAGCCACTCTGAATTAGGAATTTTGTCATTGTCTCTGAAAGACTCTTTAATTACAGTGAAAATAGTGTGGATAATATCAGCACGATACACCTGAGAAATTAAAATCTACTAAAAATAAATATTTTGGAACGATAGCTTTAGCGACTTCATGTTTTTACGCTTTTAGTCACAAACTCCTGTATGACACTTTGATTCATGAGCTCAGGTAAAATAAGCAAGTGAACCCTTTATCTTATGGTGATGTGGAGTGAATGATAGTAACGTTAGATTAGTATTGAACAATTTATGACTAAAGAGACTGGAGGTAACCTAACCTATTGATTTGAGACATCCAGAATGCAAGATAATAGTATTTAATTTATTTCAAAAAATGAGTAACACTTAATAAATACTCTCTAACTATCTAGAATATTCATAAACAACAAATGAGTAAGATTTAGTTTTGTTCTTACTTCAACTGTATCCTTTATCGTCTACGTTTTCGTTATCACCTATTCCCTCATTACACTGCCATTTTTGTTTTGCGTGGCACACTTCCTTAAAGACATTCTACTAAGCACTTGAGTTGTAAATAAGTACTGTAAGGCTAAGAATTCATAGTTTAGTCTTCAGAAGTCGGGTGCTACATCTCTACGACAACTTGAATCTTGACGTTATGGATCACAGAAGCAACTTCAAAAGGGCAACCAATCTCTTACACAGACCCATAAAATAGTTGAAGAAATCTTTTGGATGAGAAAATAACAAGACTACGTACCTTGATCTGTATTCGCTCAACTTGAACATTTTGCTGATTAATTTCACTACCCATGTCAATAGCCATGTTACGAAGATTTCCGATCATACCAGAAACCTCCTGCAAATTTTGGTCCATTTCATCTTCTCGTGCATCATTTGTAATTCTAAAATGGGCAAAAACAGACTTCAGGAGACTTGGAGTGATATAAAAGACTTAAAGTTGCTTTAGACCATAATATTGACACCAAAGCATCAGATTAACATAAAGTAAATGCCAATTTTATAACGCATTTTATTGGATTGACAGAGCATCTTACGTAAATCCATGCATGCTTAAAAGGCTCGATATATTGTTAATCACTTAAATCAAAAATATAATCCATAAACTTGACCACTGAAAGTCTTAATCGATAGCACCAGTAAGCCCCGGTGATCAAGGGTATGTATGGAACTTTGTATAACTCACGTAAAACTTGGACAACCGCAACATAAGAGTTTACTGAATACAAAATGTTGCCCAACGAAGCTATGGGACATTGGCTAATGAAACAACCGGCAATCATACACAGTAATCATTCTTTTCAATAGTTTTAATGACTGGTGTCCATTTCAGTCTGATTACTTCAATTTTTTTTTCAATTACGATCAAATCACCTTGTTGACTGAGAAAACAGAAAAGCATCCATAATGACCTAAGTTTTTCTCAAGTACGGCTACAGGAATTATCAATTACTTAACTAGTAACACTACTAAGTATTGCTCATCCTAATTATCAACATTTACAAATAATTCACCTTCAACTCAAATACATCTAAAAGTAAGAACGCAAACTGATACTATGACTCGGGATAGATATTTTAACTTTAATGATTACATTAATATTAGCAAAAAATACAATTGTGCAATACAAACCTTTTATACAACATACCGTGTAATATAACCACCAGTTGGACCCATGCCGTTTTGATCCACAATTATTCGAGGTCCGTCCCCACCCCGCATATCCTCATCCTTTAGTTGTTTGGTATAATCATCTTTCTTTTTAACTCTAAAGGACATTATAATGAGTAAATCATAGCTTACTTATAAAGTCATTAAAACTGGATGTACATGTGCAAGATAGAGGCTACTACTAATACAGAATAAAATGTTGCTCTATACTAGCTCTTAATTTTAATACGCAAGGATGAGACATTGAACTTTCACAATTGCTTTGAGTGTTAAAAGTATCTTCTGGAAGGTTATTTAACTTAACTCAATAAAGTTAGAAAATATGCTTACACTTGCTCAATTATTATTTTTCACCAAATTTGTTGACGAACAAAATTAAAGTTTTAATAAAACTGTTAATGTGGATTTTATCACATACATAGTGGATGATGATAACCTATAATTTAAATGAGTCGTACAAAACTTGAAAGAATGAAATAACTATGATTGACTACGTTGAGATATAAAAATTTTCACACAAATGGTACAGAATAATGGTTATATACATAGTCGAGAATTGTCTGTCTCAGAAATTAACGGAAATTAACTAGATTATATAATTCTACAAATTAATGTCACACGACCAAGTGAATAACTGAACCCTAACATCTACTGTTTTGTATTATTCGATTTGATTACAACTTAAAACCAGTCTTGTGAGGAACGTCACGTAGAACTTTGACTGTATCTATTTTATTTACAATAACACATCCAATGGATTTCTACCGCATTACAATAAATAATGCTCGCAGTACAATCTTATTTCTTCTTGTTTTTATATTAACTAAAGGTATTCCAAAGAATAACAATTTCATTAACCGGTCCTTCACTTACATAATTTAGCTCAATTTGACAGTCAATTTTTGCCTTTGTCAAGCTAAGATTTCATCAAACCTATGACGCCCTGAAACATGGGTATTTACGAATAAATTTATGTAACTAGTTCCATGATCACCATTTATCGCCTTAATTGCATTTTCTAACCAGTGAATAAACTGCTCATCAACTGAGTTTAAACGAGGGAAAAATTTGTCAATTAGTCTTCTACATATTGCCATTAAACCTTAGGAATGTGCACAGCAGCAATCATAACATTTGGTAAGTAATCACAATAAAATACTAACAGACTTACTTATTCCAAGGCAACACGCAAAGTCCGCAGCATTTGTTTAGATCATCCAGATTCTTTTCAGCATCCTTCATGTCTTGATTAATCTGATCCATACCCTCATTTATGCGATCCAATTGTTCTGAAAATTTCAAAAAAACTTTCTATGAGTTTATAGTATATTTGTAAGCAAAACATAAGGCAGTTGGGTATCGACACTTAAATACAGGTAAAAAGAAAATCTGAACATCAAAAAAATAATACAGAGATAACGAAAACAATGAATCCGAGTCTAAAGATATAATTATAGTCTATCATATATGTATGGTGTAGTTTACAATCCTTTTACTAATAATACACAGCAGGTTCTCTTGGACGAGACACAACACTTTGTCTAAACCACCTATCCATTAAAATACATTCACGATATAGTTAACATCCAACTTAGACAACAGCTTTACAACATGAAATGTACAAATTGTGTCACAACATATATGTGTAGCCTTACCGCCTTGATCATCTAACATGACCAGTGTAGAAATCCCTGCCTCTTTGGCCTAAATATTACATAAACATTTAGCATATCATTTTCTCAACTTTGATCAATTATTATCATAGGTGTAAAAAGACTCACCTCCTCACATAAAGCCATCATCCGTCGAGAGGCTTCCAGTGACTAAAATGTGCAAAAAATAAGACGAATAACAAGAGTTGGAAAGAGACCTGACAAACCAATTGAAAAACATTAGAATGTGGAAATTAGTATAATAATTACACCATATTATAACTTTTTTTCTCTCAAAAATGCTTGTACGAACATTTGAAGGGAATATTAAATTACATGAAATAATTAGTGCTTGATCACAACAAAACTATGTAAAATTTAATTCTACAACTACATCACTTGTGACGACTTTTAAATAAGACTAACCACGGACCTATATAAACTGAAGAACACTTGATGAAAACTATTTTGTTAGGTTCCTTATACATATTTTTGGCAACAATGGGGTAACAAGCAACAACAAAGTTCAACCGTGAAAAAGAATGGGACACCTACATCCGAGGTTGTTTCATCAATCTTCCTTTGAAGAAGTTCTACTTCTGTCATGGGTCTGATAGTTCCATCGTCTAACTGCACCTCATCATATCCACAAACAGGATGGCGAGATTTTTGCGGCATTTCACAGTTAGTACACCCAAGTTGAATAAGGAAAAACGCTAGTTTAATATGAATAGTTACATAATTTGGGGTGGAAATATTAGGCGTTAATTGCAATGCAGAAATATAAAGTGTCGAGAAATTCCACAATCCATTAAGGACAGAGCACAATTATTCCCAAATCAACCATTATTTTCATTAAATATTAAGAAACTAAACTATGGGAGACTAATCATAACATTTTAAATGTGTTTGGCCACAAGCAAACTTGGTTATGATTGGATGGGTAAACGATCTACGAATAACAGACATATAGGAAGACAGACAACCACATTTTTAGTTTGAAAATCTATACTACTACCAAAAGCAACAGTATGATATTTAAAGGACACTAAATTTCAAATGAAAGTCAGGCTACAAACGCCGGCACAAACTAAATAACTCTTCAAAAGCATAAAACCTTTAGTAACAAAAATGCCGGTGACAATTTTGTAGAAGTAGTCAGTAACTCCGTAGTATCAAAAACCTTGTTTAGGAACTAACATGAAGAAATAATGTTTATATCTGGATCGAAATGAGTTAGTAGGCCACAAGAAAGGAGAAACTACATAACTCGTAAGAAAACATTCAGAACCCAAATGGCGAAAAGCAAAACAATCTAAAGATGGATATGATGTATTGTGATACTCATAGTGCTTGACACCAATAACAGGCCAAACGATGGGCAGTTACATTGAAGTTGTTATTCGTAATCAAATAAAATGATGAAACTATTTAACGGCTGGTAGAATCAATGTGCGCAGCAAGCAGCCATGATTTTGGGGACGGTTTTAGTTTGGAAACAATAGCTGGAAAGATTACAAAACCTCTGCTTAAACTTAAAAAACGTGTTGCGCAAGATATTGATACATTTGACAACAAAAACCAGTGAGAAGAAATGAACTTAATTCTGTCTGATGCAAGTACTAAAAGTCTCGGAATGCCAATAGTACTCATTCTGTCCAGTCAGTATTTTCGTGTATTTAGAGTTGTCCATATGCTGATAGCAGTGTAATCGACGAGACCAACTATTTATAGGAGACCGGATTGTTGTAAATTAATATGGATTACCTTTAAAGTCGTCACGACATCAGCCTGCTACAACCACATGGAAACACTCCTCCTAACTGACGATACTAGATGGCTCATGACCGATAACATCTAGAGAACTGACTATATCTGTTACGAAAACTGTGGTTCAGGGGTTCAACGTAAATCCGGTCATAGTGGCTGCCATAACGACTCAATCCGACAATAACTATACCCCAGAGAAAGTAGTCTTGCACTACATTTCTAAATCACCAATTGAACAACCCTCCATATTTGGTAGTGCATCTCGCGTTAGTGAAGACTTACTAGTTTGCTACGTAGCGTTTAGAATGTATCATCTCTCTAGTCTGTCTTGAACTAGTAAGACGCTTCTATAGGATTCAGAATTGATGGCTGAGATCGCGTTCTGCACTTCATGTTAAACTCCAAAGCAATATAATATTAAAAACCACAGAGGGGTACAAATGTTTGCGACAAAGTTCTATCTTGATATTTGTTTTACGAACTACACTATAAACTTATTTGAAGTAGAACAACAAAGGCGTATTTACGTCCTTGTGTTTACGGTACATTGTCAAATCGTGAGCAATATATCTGGGGCATGTGCATTCATTTTGAATGTCACAATAAGTCATCACAACAATTACCAAGATTAAATGCAAAGAAGGGGATTAACAATGGTCCGTCAGGATTAGAATTTCAACATTTTGGCTTAGTTAAAAGCCCGAGCTGGTAACTAGACCACACAAGTTCGAAGTAACTATGACTTTACACTACCTGAGAGCCTAAACAGTAAGTGGGCAGTCTATTATCCTAAAGCTGGAGATAAATTTCCGGGAATATGTCATTACAGCATGCACGTAAACTAGATATTTAGAGTGAACATCATGGTGATCTGACCCATCTAACTTAAATGAAAAACCAGGAGCCTTGTTTTCTATAAAACACACAAGTTCATGGAAAACAAAGACTGATTAGATATAGGTTACATCTCACTTATGTATCACCTCAAATATAATACCTTGATTGAGCATCCAGTCCGTCTCACATTTTGACTGCACATATCAGACAATTATAAGCAAAGGCTAAGACTATTGAAGACTGGTGCAGAACACGAGCTCATACAAGCAACTTGTATCTTTAAGAAGTCGTTTTTTGGCTTTTTTCTAAAACTAATCTACGGAGCTATCACCATATTCGATATACACGATCGAATAACCACAAAATTTATGTTGTGGTTAGCAAGTGCCAAGCATCACCCTAAAAAGTAGCCCTACTTTTATTTACTAGACATTCCAAGGAAAATGTGGAGCTTGTTAGCGAACATTGGAAAGACAGCCTACGACCACAGAATAAAATACTAAAGAAATGAACAAAGAGACTCCTTAAGAGTTATGTAGTCAAAATGCTCTGTGAAAGAACAGACCTCGTCAGTCGTTTGATTCATCTTGAACTTAATCTGCTCATACTCGGTCATAGGAACCTGGGATTCGTCCATCATCGAACTCATCAGTATTCCCCAGAGATCGCGCCAATTAGCTCAAATCGACGAGTATAAACAATCAAAATTCAAATGTAAGTGTAAACTGGCTGAACTATCCGTTGAACATTTAATGTGACCGAGTGTAATAACATCTTTAGTAAAACGTGAACCAGCTGCTCATTCTGCGATTTAATTCTAGTCTTCAATCTTCAGTAAAAGGATAGAAAATCTATCGACCTAAATTAGTCCTTACAGTTTGTCACACTGTGGAGGTTCAATCTCGTTTTGGCATAAGAGGTGTTGATACTTCGTGTTGCGGTAGGCAATTCTAGTAATTCACTAGTCGGTGTGAGAAACGAAACTCTAGAGGTAGATTATTTTATCTCGGTTTTTGAACTTTCTTCGAATGTTCTCTCAAATGATCAGTCCTAGACGTAAGGAAAATCTAGGACATATTAATACTAAAGTCATCGTTCAGTCTACGATATGCCAATACTAGATGGCCCCGTGTTATACGGCAAGGTGAGGTGTCTCCGTCTGTCTTGATAAGATAGGCCAGAGAGACCTTTTACCATTTTAGTCCCACGTTGTTGGACTCGTTCCAGAATATCCGCCTCATACTTGAAACAAGGACTCGCTGCTTGAATCCCATATTCCAAATGCCATCTCACAAGAGTCGGGTATAATAATCTAAAAATTTCTTCGTACAAGTATTGAAAAGACCTACGAATAGCCCACAATACCTCGCAGTCTTTTGCTGCTGCAACATTACAGTTACTCGTAGTTGTGATATAGCTGTATATTATAACTCCTTAGTCTTTATAGTCCATTACTTTCGATAACACGAATCTACGTGTTGTGTAGTAACATGAATAGTCATAGCTAGTTAATTGCATCACCACCTTCCTACTAGAATTCACTTCTAGTGACCTTCCGTCCATCCATACCACCAAGGAGTGGAGAACATCCTGTAATACCATTCTATCCGACATTCAGTGTGTGTGTCTCCAAATCTTCATGTCATCAACGAAGAGTAGAACGGATGATTTTGCTACACTTGGTAATTCATTTACATAAAGTAAAATGAGAAGAGGACCAAGATTTGTATCTTAGGGAACTCCACTTTTTACAGCTTCCCACGATAAGAGAGCTTCATTTACCCCTACCCTTTGCCTCCTGTCATGAAGAACGTCACTTATCCAGTCTATGACTGCATAATGGTTTCCAAAACTTTTCAGTTTTAATCTAAGACCAGAATGCGAGATCTTATCGAAGGCTTTATTTAGATCTATGAAAATCAAATCTACAGGAATATTTCGATCTTTTGCCGCAGCCCAGTCACTTGCAGTGAGCAGATTTGTCAAACATGATAGGTCTTTGCGAAAATCACGTTGGTCCATGGGTAAAAGATTTTACCCTTCCACGTAGTTTATAATGGAAATCCGAAAAATCCTTTCCATTAGTTTTGCAACTGCGCTGGTTAGACTAACGGGTCGATAGTTACTAACTACGCCTCTACTCCCCGCCTTATAAACTGGATTAATTATTGAGTCTTTCCAGTCTCGTGGCAGTCCGGAATGCGGCAGAAACATATCAAACAGTATGGTTATAGGTTAGGCAATTACATCTGATATGGCTTTCATAATCCTAAGATGAATATCATCAGGACCACAGGACTTGTCAGATATGAAATGCTGAAGTAGTTTTAAGACATTGCCTTTCTCAGTAACTACCGCGTCCACCAACAAGCCGCCACAACCACAATTAATCATTGGTCGTTCCTCGTTGCTGATAGAAAACACTTTACTGAAATATTTCGATCAACCTACAGCATTTTCGGGATCATCTCTTGCCAATACAAACGATTTTCTTGTACCAAAACTGACGGAATTCCATCACTTTTGCGGTTCCTCTATCGATTCATGGAGAGCAGTGTGGTAGCTTACATGTTGACCATGGAATAGATGGTATTGTTCCGGTCTCCATTGTAAAGTTAACGTTATTCCATTTACCTTCGAACACTCCACTAACATAGACCAATTAATCTGTTGGGATACCACAATCTCTCTTTGACGGGAAATAAGTATGACAGATAGACATTGGACATTATGTGTCCGGAACTAAAAGTACATTACATGATCAATGTTAGCTAGCGGGATTAGATACTAATTTTCAGTGACGTCATCACAGTGGTGTGTGAAGACATGGTCTAACCATAATTATTTACGTTCTAAGGATAGTACTCCGCTGTCAGAACTTCCGTATGATTTTTTCGGGAAATCTTGTGTATGCAAATCTATCTACGTACACATTGTTGCGATTCATTCTTTTCGATTCTGCCAGATGTATATTTCGCTGATCGTTTGGTTTCATTTGAGATGGCATTATTCATACTTGATCGTAGTTCTTGTTTTATCTTATGCTTCCACTGAATTTCTACGTTTTCCCCCAACTATATCTATATTATTTTATTTGATAGTTTGGCGACAGTGACTGCCATATTGATCCGCTCCCGATTATGGTTGTGCTGCTTGAACTGGCTGTAAATATACAATGGTGATTGTTCGTTGAAGCGTGCCTTCAGATCCGGAAAAATTCAGTGCTGTAACAAAATTATATATTACCTTTCAAACAATCTGTGCGTAATCTATCAAGAAAGAATGTAATGACATTCTTGTGTTGATTGGAACAGTTATTTGCTGTACTCGGTAGTTCTCTCATATCCCCCACATTTCTGTGACTACAATTATGTAGGCATTTATTCTAACTAGGACTATATTTTGCATCTTTGAAAGTACTGTTCCTGGCTTTCGTTTGTGTGGTTATTTCTTTCCTACTAACCACTAGAAGCTTTTCTTGCGATGTCCTCTCGGTTTTAAATTTCGGACGAATCCATTCATATAAACTATCCAGTTTTTCTCATAATAACCAATAATGTTAATCTAGTTGGATGAAGTGGTGCTAGTGATTTTGTTATGTGATTCTTGGTCAGTTTATTCGAAGACAACTCCTGTGTACCCTACATGGAGGGGAGATCTCTAGAGCACACAGATGTTACACGACCTTATAATGGATCAATTAGTTGAACTAGGTCATAATAACGGCATTATCCGAGTTGTAGGCTGAAGGGGAAAGAGAAAGGCTACACAAGTTTCAATCAGTAAGCAAATGGAATAGACAGGATAAATAATAACCTTATGATCTATATGAGTAAATAAAAATGAGAAGGTAACACTGTATAACTTATGAAGACAGAAAACAACAGACGTAAATAGATCTTGTTCCATACAACCATTGACGTTTCCAGCTAGCCAAGTCAGTTTGTGGATATACATATAATCTCTTAGCTTTGCCCTGAGACACTTTGATGAACAACGAAGATAGGAATTTTGGTCGTCACATAATCGCTGTAGTGAAACGGAATTTCATACAACCCGACGACTACTCTCAGCATCTTTCTTCTGATATCGGTGTTATTGCATTTATTTATGCTACTAAAATGATAGACCTAGTCTAATGTCAAGGACTGGCTATGTTGTGATGGTTTGTTTTACATGATCTTATGCCGAAGTTACGTAATTGTCTACCCTGATTTGTCCTATCGTCGAAGTCGGGGGTGTTCATCTACACAAACCCTCGAAGAATAAATATATTATTGATGAAATATGTTTTATACAGAGATGAAAAAGGTACATTTGAAGTTACTGGTCTTTTTGGCCGAGCAATTTCACGCTGATCATATTTAAGCCTCAGCTTTTTGACAGTCACTATTTTTATTACATCTTCAGTGACCGATTTTTTCTCATTTCATGTAAGAACGGCTCAGTTCGATGAATTATTTATGTGAAGCTTTCAGTATTGTTTCACAAGTAATACAAGATGTTTCACTTTTGCTCGGTCGGTAGATTTTTTGGGACCAGTGAGACCCTAACTTTTGCAATGTGCCTAAACGTCTGGTACGTCTAGATTCTAATACATTCAGATTGAACAGATCTTTTAGTATTATATCATGTCACTCCCAAATTTTGCTTTTCTCCGTTACTGAAGTATGATCGATTGATCCACTTGTAAATGTCGACGCCAGATAATAAGAGAACAAAATTCCAATTCAAGTGCCAAAATTTAATCACAAATTACAATCATTTAATCCAAATATATGGTTCTTATAATAGTGATAACGGTAGGTCCATAATTTATGAACGGTTTTTGAGCGTCTATAAGTGACCTTGAGTATATCCACCAACTTGTAAGAGCTCAATGAAGTTTATAAACCTGCATGTAAAATGACGATTATGATTTACATTTGACGGCCAGGGTTAGGAATTAGGTTTGGAATTTTCATAATGAAGGGACACCAGTTAAAATGCTAAAACGCTGTTTAAATAAATGGGTGAGTGAATTTCGTGCAAAAACCCTAAATCTTATTAGTTCGTCCATAAATTTTAGTCCAGCCATATGTGCACCATCGTTCAGCTAATGCTCACTTTTTTATCAGTATATTTTTTTATCAAGCTTTTTGTGATTAGGGACTATGCAAACACCCTGTAATACTGAAGTCACTCTTCCACGCTTGCAAACTTCTTAAAATCATATTTTCAAGTTTATATTAGCCCCTCCAAACTGTCAATATAACTTATTGATTGTTAATACAAGGTCTTTTGCTTAGATTAAAGTGTTGACATTTGATAGAGACTAAAAGACGGACAGTAGAAAAAATGATACAGTTATTAGCGTTTGAAAACCTTTACACCTATTCGATAAGTTTCTGGATTTGTCATATAATCTATTCGATTTGTATTTCCGCATTCTTTCCACTACTCTACTTTATTCCACTTCACGACTGACGCTTCGTTCTTTTATGATTTTTCCGCGCATTTTTCAGTTAGAAATAGTTTCTGTAACAGCAACTATTATGGGCTTTACCAACTGATTAAGCATGCAGCAAGAGAGAATCTGATTTAGCCTGGACCATAAAAGCACAAGCGATTGTCAAGATTACAGCTAAAACAAATCGCTTTATTCGCGTTTCTTTATAACGACCACAAACATATATTATAGTTCCGTAGTTTCTGTTACTATGTTAAGACCAC